CCGCCGTCCTGCTCTCCGCCTTGCTGCGGGCGCCCCCTGCAGGTGAGGCTCGGCGCCGCATGGCGGGCGCCTTGCGTTGGCCCCGAGTCACGTGACCCCGGCTCACACAAAGAAACCCTCTAACCCTCTGCGGCTGACGCTGCGCCAGGGAGAGCCTTGGTTTGTGTAGGCGTCCCAAAGAGAACTGCGTGTGCGCAGAGAAGGTCGCGGTTTGAACAATCAGGAGAGTATTTATTCAAACGTGAAGCTTTAAATGAAAAGTGCCCTAATACACTGAGGTCCGTGGGTCCTCGCCAGCTTTGTGTTTCAGAGACGTGTGTACAGAGATGTACAGAAAGTGATGTGAACCCAGGGAGCCTTAAAACATCCTTGATAGCGGAGCGCCCTCTGTTGGTTCAGGATGTAAAATGCAGGGTGTAGCTGGTGTTTCTAAGACTAAACTGTAACACTTCTCACTGTTTCAAAGTATATTTATGCTGGAGAAAGAAAAGAGCGTTTACTAGATTTGCTTTTTAAGTGGAAGAGTTTGGCTGCATTTGTGTGTTTCAACTTACTAACAATAAGCTGTGTCCCACAGATCCTAAAGAAATGTACTAGAGGTAACCCTTGTCAGAAGTTAAAATTTGTTCATATAAGGGAGAATGAAAAGATAAAGTAATCAAGGATACAAACAGAAGGAATGTGAAGAAAGGAAAATGGCAGAGAAAGGAAAGAAATGGGACTTTTTAATTTTTGTTAACTTGACACAAACTATAGCCACCTGAGAATAGGAAACCTCAATTGAAGATTTGTCTCTATCAGATTGACACCAGAGCGTGTCTGTAGGGGTATTTTCCTAATTGCTTTCTATATGGGAGGGGCCAGTTGTCTGGGGGTGGTTCCATCCCTGGGCAGGTGGTCCTGGGCTGTGTAAGAAAGCAAGCCGAGGAAGGCTGAGACAGCAACTCTGCAAGTAGTGTTCCTCCATGCTTCTGCTTCGCTTCCTGCCTCCAAGTTTGTGCTTGAGTCCTTGCCTTGGCTTTCCTGGACAATGTACAACCTGTAAGGTGAAATGAACCCTCTCTATATCCCCCACCCCAAGCTGATTTTGGCAAAATGTTTATCACAGTAACAGAAAGCATACTAAGACACAATGGGGGGTGGGGGTAATGACGATTACTCCTTATATAATATCGTCCAGGTGTTTGGTGCAAAGATAGTTCTGTGAGAATAAATTGTCTAATTATTCTGTCTAAGAAAGATGCATTGGAATATGGCTCTTGGCCTTATACCTGGTAATGAAAGTTTGTGTTTTTGTTTTAAAATTTTGCCTGCCTTTCTTTTTTCTCCAATAAGGACTATCAAAAATAGGATAAGCAATTAGCATCTTAAAATGTAAACTGAGTAGTAAAGGCTGATACTCATATAGCACTTCACAGCTCCTATGATAAACATGTAAGGTTGGAATTACTGTCAATCTCATTTTGCAGATGAAAGCCCCAAACTGGTAGTTTAAAGTAACTTCCTCAATTTCAGTATGTGGTAGAATTTCCATTAAACTCCACTCCAGCCTTTAATGCCATGATCTCTCCTTGTTGTTAAGACTCTTTGGGGTTAATGCTTTACAGCCATTGCATGGTCTTCCCCATTCATTCTGTTCACAGCATCATGCTGTCATATGTGTTCATTCAACAATGAATGAAGACTAGCAGGATGTTTTTCATAGTCATTGTTTTAATAGTTTCCATGTCAAAGGCAAGGTGCTTGCAAATGATTCTTGATAAGTTGACTTAAACACTGGTGCTTCCATCAATGGAGTTTGTACCAAGAAAAATGATGTATGTGTATGAATAACTGCATTTCATTGCAGATTGAGTGTTAAAAGAGAGATGCCAGTTACAATAGCCGAGTAATGAGGATGGGAGGGGGGCTTGAGGGGGCAGGGTTCTGATTGGGTCCTGTAAGGCAGGAGAGTATTAGAAGTAGGCACAGAAAGGTTGGGTTAAGTTTTATAACAGGTGTAAGTCATAGGTATATTAAATTCTTTAAGGAGTATGCAGAACAGTATATAGCAGTCATAGAAAACTGATTTATACTTTTTGCAATGGAGGCAAGATACTCTTATTTTAATATTTTGGAATTTTTACAAGACAGACTTAGATCACTTTTTTTTTCTTTTTGTTTTTCATAGTTGGATATTTGGCTCGATTGCCAAGAAGTTTTCGCTTGATTCAAGATTCACTGAAAATAGTGGGATCATCACATTTTCCCGGTACTCATGAATAGCTTTTCAATAATAGAATGTTACTAGCATCCGTTTACAATTTGACAGTCCTGTTGAAAAAGCTAATGGTCCCCAGTTACTCTCCTTCCCGAAGGTCGGTTTCCTTCTGTGGAGCTGAATTAAAGTGGTTTCTGTAGAGCTGGAATTATTCAAGTCTAATTCTGCGTGCAAAGAAAAATTATTTCTAAAAGTTAACTAAAGTTTCCTATAGTGATTTTACTTGTAACAGATACACTGCTCACTATAATATTAAATGTGGAAGCTTAAATATGCTAAAATAATTTTCAGTTGAGATCTAAACACCATAAAGATTTTGGATATATGTTTTCAGAGTACTCATATGTGACACAGCAGCTGCAACTTTTTGGAACTTTTATTGAGTTCATTTTATTTGCCACAGAATGCCTTCTTGCATGTTTTGTAGTTTGTTGACAAGGTTGACAGCCATCAGAACTCTCTAATTCCCCATTGTTACTGTATTGTAAAGAAGCTTCTATGTTCACTGAGCAAGTATTCCCGGTCCCCGAACACTGCTAATACTTTGTTTGGTATTTGCTGTTTTGGACTTAAGTAAAATCACACATTATATGGCCTTTGTGTTCATTTTATGTGATGGTGTTTTTTTTTTGTTGTTGAGATTGTGTAAATACTTCATTTTATAGTTGAATAATATTTTTGTATATGAATGTATGTTTTTATTTCTCTTAAGTATATATCGTAGGAGAATAGTTTGTGGCTAACATATCAATTATATATTCAACATATTGAAGAACTGCTAAAATGCTTTCCAGAGGG